CGAGCAGCTGTTCATCAAGGTGAGACTGTAGCTCGTGTACCTCAACGAGCAGCTGCTCATCAAGGTGAGACTGCAGCTCGTGTACCTCAACGAGCAGCTGTTCATCAAGGTGAGACTGCAGCTCGTGTACCTCAACGAGCAGCTGCTCATCAAGGTGAGACGGTAGCTCGTGTACCTCAACGAGCAGCTGTTCATCAAGGTGAGACTGTAGCTCGTGTACCTCAACGAGCAGCTGTTCATCAAGGTGAGACTGCAGTTCGTGTACCTCAACGAGCAGCTGCTCAGCAAGGTGAGACTGCAGTTCGTGTACCTCTGGGAGCAGCTGTTCATCAAGGTGTGACTGCAGCTCGTGTACCTCAACGAGCAGCCATTCATCAAAGTGGGACTGCAGTCCGTGTACCTCAACGAGCAGCTGTTAATCAAGGTGAGACTGGGCTCGTGTGCCTCAACGAGCAGCTGTTTGTCAAGGTGAGACTTTAGCTCGTGTACCTCAGCGAGCAGCTGTTCATCAAGGTGAGAATGTAGCTCGTGTGCCTCAGCGAGCAACTGTCCATCAAGGTGAGACTGTAGCTCGTGTGCCTCAGCGAGCAGCTGTTCGTCAAGGTGAGACTGCAGTTCGTGTACCTCAAAGAGCAGCTGTTCATCAAGGTGAGACTGTGCTCGCGTGCCTCACCGAGCAGCTGTTCATCAAGGTGAGACTGTGCTCGTGTGACTCAACGAGCAGCTCTTTTTCAAGGTGAGACTGGACCATGTAACACCGAGCATCCAAGCTTCAATAATACCGCATTACGAATGCCACTTCTTGGACATCATCAACACGAGTTTCACCAGCCAATAACATAACATGCGTGTTGAAAATCACATTTTTTTATTAGAGGAATTACCAAGAAAGAAAAAATCTTGGTTTATGCTGCATTTGATCAAGGTTACAAATGCTGCTTTAAATATAACCAGCTCTCGTTGCCAACACAAAGATGAGCCCTGTAATGCTTGGTCGGTGAGCCTACCGCTGCGGAAGCAGACGCAACGCCGTCTCTCTGTACCGATGGTACAGAGAGACAAGTAATATTATATATTATTTAAATTATTATGGCACCAACAAGAAATAATAAAGGGGACGATATCAATGATATTTTGCATTATTGTCAGTTTATTATAACTATTCTTAGCGCATCTGGGATAACTATAGATGAATGTCTTCAAATATATGCGCATAGGCAATCCTGTATTGAGTTGTCGTAAAAATTCTCGTTAGAATTTACAAGTAAAAAAAGTCCTTGTGATTGTTGCCTCCTTTCTCCTGAAAGTCCTTGTGATTGTTGCCTCCTTTCTCCTGAAAGCCCTTGTGATTGTTTCCTCCTTTCTCCTGAAAGTCCTTGTGATTGTTTCCTCCTTTCTCCTGAAAGTCCTTGTTATTGTTTCCTCCTTTCTCCTGAAAGTCCTTGTGATTGTTTCCTCCTTTCTCCTGAAAGTCCTTGTGATTGTTTCCTCCTTTCTCCTGAAAGTCCTTGTGATTGTTTCCTCCTTTCTCCTGAAAGTCTTGTGATTGTTTCCTTCTTTCTCCTGAAAGTCCTTGTGATTGTTTCCTCCTGTCTCCTGAAAGTCATTGTGATTGTTCCCTCCTGTCTCCTGAAAGTCATTGTGATTGTTTCCTCCTTTCTCCTGAAAGTCCAGACTTTTATTCTAGAACTTCTATCGTCAGGTGCCCTTCCTGCAGCGCTTCCTGCCACACCTGCAGCTATTCGGACGCAAGCAGCGGCGGCTGCTCGTCAAGATCAACTCGTCGCCCTACATTGGAGGGATTATTTACGACGACCAGAAGCAGTTCGTGTGCTACCTGGACGACCGCACGGTTGAAGTAATCAGGTTAGCTGCTCGAATACTGGCAACTCGATCTTCTATAGCCGCGATCACGATTATTGAAGTTGGTGGCAACATAGCGTTATAAAATCATGAAGTTATTTCAAGAAAATTTTATAGAGGTGTAGGGTGGCCCAGTGCTTACAGTTCAGAGTACTAGGATTGGAGCAGGGAGGTGCGGGTTCGATCCCAGCTCTGTGCGCCAGTTTCTGGTCAGAATCGGCGAGGAGGCCGGGCGGTCAAGCAAAGCAGAGTGGAGCAGTGAGTTGTACGTTCAAGACCGCAGCAAGCTGTGTTAAGAATCGGCGACAGGCCTACGGCCTAATAAACGCAAAACCACTATTACATACTATATTGGAGGTAAAGTTTCAGTTTCTCGATGTGCAAACCGCGGCTTGTTTACATTTAATTTTTACTTTACATTTATTTGTTTTGTTATAGGCAAGCAGTGAAATTGAGAAACTCAAACTCTTGCAGGAATCACCGCCTCAACAGGATCGCAGCTCAACGTGAAGAGCGCGTGATCGCAGCTCAACGTGAAGCTCAGGATGAGATCCAAAAAAATATCGCAGCTCAACGTGAAGCTCAGGATGAGATCCTAAAAAATATCGCAGCTCATGAAGCTCAGGATGAGACCCAAAAAAATATCGCAGCTCAACGTGAAGCTCAGGATGAGATCCAAAAAAATATCGCAGCTCAACGTGAAGCTCAGGATGAGACCCAAAAAAATATCGCAGCTCAACGTGAAGCTCAGGATGAGACCCAAAAAAATATCGCAGCTCAACGTGAAGCTCAGGATGAGATCCAAAAAAATATCGCAGCTCAGCGTGAAGCTCACGATGAGATCCTAAAAAGGATGGCAGCTCAACGTGAAGCTCAGGATGAGATCCTAAAAAGGATCGCAGCTCAACATGAAGAGCGCGTGCAAATCCTGCAGCTGCTGCATGAAGTCAGGAACAATTTTACGACCACAGCTCCGTAGATATGCTGGGAAAATCCTGCAGCTGCTACATGATCAGGCTTCATGGCTCCTAAGCAGTGACATGTCTAGCCATACGAGTGCATGCTTCTTGTGCCGCTCCTCGTGTAGCAACAAAAGCTGCTTGTGGATTTATTCAAACAGGCTATTTATAACTCGTTTTTAAATAGTATTACTCATGTTTTCATAAACAAATTGACAAAGGTTCCTGGAAGTAAAAAATTTAGAGGGAATGAAATTTTTAAAAAGTGATTAAATTCAAATTTAGCGGGAGTGGGCGTTAAGTTTTTAGCTCGAGGTAAAATTTAATTTTAGATGATAATAAAGAAATATTTTAGCGCTTACAATGCCTATATAGGTACGACTATCGGATTTCCTGCCCTTTGAATGGCATCATTTGAATGTTCTTGCTTGTTATTAACGTTTGATGATTTGACGACATTGGAATTATCGCTCACCAAAAACTCCATTGCTACATTAAACATGATTTCTAGTGTTAAAAATTAAATCGAAATTTCGTATTACGCAGCAGCGATTTTTATTGTAAAATTGTGCATCAGAACGTATTGTATTTTTAGTGATTCTACAGCGGCTGATGTTTTAAAAATTATGCTCGGCGCAGGGCTTAGCCGAGCACGTCGCGCTTTAGCCAGACGGAGCAATGAAATAGTTGTTGTTGTTAGTTGCCCGGGACCGCTGCACGGCGGCGCCCCGCAGAGACGGCGGCTCCGGGGGAGGGGGAGGGAGCGGAGGTTCCGCTCCAAGGATGTCGGCGAAGGATGGGAGCGAGGAGAGGAAAGCCGCAGTCGGTCCGGGGTTAGACCAGAGGTCCAGTAGAGTCAGCGAGGTGGGGTGCGATGGGCAGCTGAAGAGGTGATGGGTGGTGTGATCCATAAAGATAGGGTAGCTGGGATGGTGCGGTCGTAGGGCGCTGGCAAGGTACTGTGAGCAGAGCAGAGAGAGGTGTTCAGCCACGGGTAAGATCTGAGCTTCGCTGTGCAGATGGGAAGCGGAGGCGGATTTGGAGAGATCCCGTGGCTATGCGGAGGGCTGAGTTCTGAATAGTTTGCTGCTTAGAGATTGACGAAGGAGAGGCGTTGGGGGAACTACGCTGGGGCAGCGTAGGTGAAGAGGGACTTAATAAGGGCCTTAAAAGTCACCAAGAGGGTTTCATTCTGCTGGCCCCAGCTGGTTCCGGCAAGCTACATGGAATTCAGTCTCTCACCTGCAAGCTACATGGATATAGCTACATGGAAAAACGTGTTGGTTAACGGTTGCTATTGTATCGTTCATATTGTTTAACAAATTGTTTAACATTTATCAATAGTCTTGCTGCGCTCATATATAGAGCTTGTGTTTATTTGTAAAAAGCAAAGTCGTTTATTTTTATTCTCGTTTTTTTACAGAAGTGCATCTTCAGCTATTCAAAATGTAATAGGAAACAACGTAGGTATGGCTTTGGTTTTTTTTCTTGAGAAATATCAATAATTGTGTGAAATTTTCTGATCGAAAATGATGTGTGTGTGTGTACGGAAAAAAGTCGACGTAAATTCGAATGTTCTATCAGGCCAAATGGTTGCCTGATAGAGCATAGAAATTACCCTTGTTTTGGTGAAGCACGCAACCGTAACACAGAGATATATAGCTGGAAATGTTATCGGAATAAGGTAATAAAATATAAAAATAATAAAAACACATGTACGGTACATGCACAGAATATGTAAAAGCATATTCACTGCCGACACAAACGCTAAATTTAGTGTCAATAGGGACTAATGACGATTATTATTACTGATCCACGAGATATCTGTGAAATTTTTTATATAAATATAAAGGATGTGGAGGATTTAGGGAGGGCCCTAGGATGTGTTTTAGGGAGGGCCCTAGGATGTGGCGTCAAAAACGGCCTTGTGTGAAAGATTACATTGAATACTATTGCAAGCTAAACTGTCGCGGCAAATCAACCGCCGTAGTTTTGGCAGTACATACGCGGGCGTCAGGCGAAATATGTGAGCAAGCCTAATATGTGAGCAAGCGGCCTATCGTTCGTGTACGGCCTTGAAGTACCATGCGAATTATTGCCGATGGCAGCGGTGTGGCCCGTCCATCTCGTCACGACAGACGGGAGCGAGCAGGACGAGATTTGGGAGTAACGGCCAATCTAACGAGTCGGACGCCTATTGTCGCCCGCCCGGCCTAAGACGTGCGCGCCACGGCCTTGATTTTTGACTGGTAAGGTGCCCAAATTTCGTGTAAGATACGCATAGAAGCAGCTGATACATCAATCCTTTATCGTGTAAATGAATAATGCAGTAGACGGTGAATGAGCGGGACACAGTGGCGCTATTTTATAAAATAGTTGCATGTATCGGATCACACTTTCTCCGAAATATTGCGTCGCGTTGCAAAACGTCGACTTCCTTGTTTATAATGAGCCAGAATTTATTTTTATGTCAGCGCGTGGTCCTAAAGTTGGTTGAGATATATTACAGGCATGTATTCTTAATAATTGCGGGCGAAATATCACTTCAATGCTTCCTTTTTAATAAAATATATCCTCCTTAGAGAAGCCCCTGTTGGTGCCAGCCAGCCCATTTTACTATGTTCGGTGTCAATCTGGCATCTCATTATAATCATTTTAATTGTATGTAATTTGG